CGAAATTTTGTGTGATATGAGCGAGATTTTAATTTATCTCCAAAGAGTGAGCTGAATTACTAAATTTGCCCTATCAGGAATAGAAGGAAGACTATGAATTTTGGTGAAGAAGTTCCATGAGCACTTCCATACGACTCCAGTGCATCTTTCTCATCTTAAACAAAACAATATGAGTCAGAACCCATCATTTACGAACATTCATCACAACAGTAACCCAAGAACGTCGTTACTGGACTTTTTATTTTGAAAAAACTGTTGTTTGGAGGCATGCAGGTCGGCACAAACCACATCCCACCATCGTTTTAACCGAACTGAAACATACTACAGTAGAAATTTTAAAGGGGTTTTTTGAAAACTGGATTCTTTAAATATCATTTGAAATTTAACTCGAGAGTAGGTTTTCAAAAATTTTGTGTTGGCATATGCATGACATACGTGCTTGCCAAGGGTTGCATAGGGTGTAAGTTCGCTAAAAAGAAGCTATCAGAATTATCATTCTAAGTTGTGGTTATTTTATTAATTTAAGCAAATGATAATACAATGAAATGGCTTCCTGTGCAATAGAGTTAAAACCTATTCCTTAAGGGAAGGGTACAGTTTACAATAAAATGAATTGTTTAAGTCCGTATGCAAATTTAACGTTTCCAATTCCATGTTAACATTACAGAGTCATATATACTCCTCCGTTTTAGTAAACAGAAAAGGATTCTCTTCCCCGCAAGACGACAATTTTTTAAAGTCAGCGAAAAATAAATATGCTTTGTAAATAGTACCGGAAAGCTTTGGTGATATGGGACTTAGAATATCCCAAAAATAGCTTTTTGGTAATAAATGAGCTACGCAATTGTGTTAAAAACGATGATTTAAGATGAGTTAATGACTGTTAAAGTAAGCCACAAGGAGCATTTTATCCTCAAAATCAAAGAATTTCTCATTCTATGAAAACATATAAGAAAATATGCACATAATAAGTACATTATTTTCAGATCAAACTCACATGATGACAACGTGAGATGTAAAACGATGCAAACGGAGGAACAGAAAAACAACTAGCCGATAATATTTTTCGTTTATAAGTAGGTTTTCGAGACTACCAGTGTATCCACCCTGCGTTGTTCGAGGCGATATGGAGACACCCTCAGCGGGATTCGAACCGCGACAGTGCAGGACGGTAGCTCGACACGCGAACCACTCGGCTACACTGCTACGAAAACCTCATCAGAGAATGTGATATTGAAAAACGCTTGGTTCCCTTGGAATCTACATCTGCCCTATGATCCAAGAACACTTGTGGCAATGTGGCAAAATTATACGCTCCAATGTCATGGTTCGAGTCCCGTTGGGAGTGCTGATGAGACCCAGGCGCGATCGAGCCCACTATCCATCCACTTATGTCTGAAGTAGAATACATTTTGGAAGGTAAGGCTCTGTGAAATCGAATGGCAACTTCAACTCTACTCACATAATTGTGGGTAAATTTAACTACAAGTCTTTCATCATTTTGAACGAAATATGTTGAACACATTTCATATATCCGATTCTCTGGTAGTCTGTAAAACACACTTCTAAACGAAAAAAGAAGGTTAGCAAGCTTTCACCGGAATCGAACTGGCAGATTTCCTCTAGGACCAAATCAGCCTGTAAAGCCGAATGACATTTAACAAAAAGAGGAATCCGTCGTCGTCTTTTGGCGGGTCCCACCTTCCGATCCAGTTGTGTTCTAATCACCTTGACCTAACGCTGCTGGTGCATAAGCGCATACACAAATAGGCACATGCACATGTTCCAAGATTGACCTATTAAATGGGCTACGAAAATCACATTATGCCTATGTTTAGAGTGATCATACAACGTGTATGGGTGAGCCGGTGAATATGACTGTAAAAATGCTACTCTCTTCCACCAATATATGTCCTATGAAGGATGGACACCTAACACCTTTGCAGTGGAATTGAAGGAGACTGATTTTGCGACAACATGAACCAGAGTGGCTGAGTAAAGTCAATCTGCAAATGGGCTAGAAGAATCCACTTTCGTTTTCTGATGGAATCTAACTTTAAATTACTTTATCAAACACACACAAACATACAAATATATATATATACAGCTACACTTAAAATTGAAGTAAGCTTAGCAACAATCGTGCCGAGAAAACCACCTCCCACCAGCCAAGGCTCAGGGACGGGTTCTCTTTTTAACATGAATTGTCTGCCTACCACGTCTGACCCTCGTTCTGTCCTTCTTTTGTCCAGTCGTTTAAAGACGGCTCTGCCTTCACGCAACATCAAAGTCAACGGTGAGGTCAACGGCCGTCGGAGAGGACTTGGAGTCAGGGGTTGTGAAGCACCTTCTTCCCTCGGAAGAGGCTGTATGTCGAGCGGGGCGGTGGATCCAAGCGCAGCCAGACTGTCCGGTTTGATGTGGTGAGGAGGCTTGCTCTGAAGTGAAACCGGAGTCCGTCCATCGGCATGCAACTTTGGCTGGTCTGTGTATGTGCAAGAATGCGTTTTGGTAAATTGATAAGTTATAAGCGAGTGTGTGTGTGTGTGTGTGTGACATATGAGCATGTAAAAGCTAAATCACATCACAACGACACAAGTATGCATCCCGACGTCGAATTTCGAATATTTGAGGTAGCAACGACTTTTTCTACGAATAAGTGCTCACACAGCTTTAAATCACATTCTATAAGTTATTTAAAAAACCGACACATTTCTAATACAAGTACAGTTTTTGACTGTATTTGCAAATGCTGGTTCATTTCATCGACAATCTTATAACAAAATTTGATATTCGAGAGGCTTAGATTGCCTTGAAATTCATTTCTGTCATGTGACCGATTGGCCCTCCTGGCGGTCTGGCGTTGTAGTAACATGCCAAAATTATTCGCTGCACTTACATAAACCGGGTTCGAGTCCCCTCGGATTGCTAATGAGTCTAGTTCAAGTGGGGTCAAAGGTGCAGTTCAGTCCAGCCAGGAGGTGCAGATACTTTTTGGAGGGCATTGTGGCACGATTATGGGAAAATTAAACTTTCATTTATATTTTTATCTATTTTTTGAGAGTTATTCGCACTATTTAATTTAAGTTGATGACGGACTGATAGTTGCATTTTCATACTCGCATAGCCTTGCTTTCTATAAGATGTCCCAGTCCTGGCTTGACTGGACTGAAGTTTCGACCTCTCCTTGGTCCCCTCACCACCTCCATTGCAACCCCAATAATGACGGTACAGATTATAAACTCGACAGGTTGCCCACTAAACTGCATTGCCACGAGTGCCCTTGTGCAACATGGCAGATGTGCATTGCGAATAAGGTCAGGCATTTTCCCAAATCACATTTTGTGATAGGATTTTCGATATGACAAAGTCGTATTTGCTAGGGCGATTGACTACATTACTTATTTGCCGTTTTATAAGTGGGTTTTTGAGACCACCAGTAATTTGTATACATGAAATGTATTCACACCATTTCGTGATGAAGAACTGGTCGTTTCAGTACCACACAACGTTCATAACCTTGAACGGAATAGGGTGAATACATCTCATATATATGAACTACTGATATACTCGAAAGCCCATTTATAAATGAAAATTATAAGTTATTGCTTTTTTT